CTCTCTCTCTCTCTCTCTCTCTCTCTCTCTCTCTCTCTCTCTCTCTCCTCCTTTCTAAGAGATTACGTTGCGCGCGCGCTCGTGCACGAGTGTAAACTCAATTTTCGCCCTTCGCTCGTCACGCTTCCGTGCGTGAACGAATCTCTCGAACAATGAGAGAAATAAAAACGAGACGACGACGACGACGACGACGCGATCAAATTTTGAAAGGAATAACGCGCAATACATTCGTAGGGAGTGGCCGGCAATATTTTTCTTAATGATTTCGAAACGATGAGTCTCGATGAGTTAACGATTTCTTTTCCTAAACGAAATATAATTATTCCACGACTTATATAATTAACGAACGGACAAACGTTTCCTCGATATTTCCTATCTTACTCGAAAACGAGCTCTCCTTAATCCCTGTTCTAAACGAGCGTGCTTTCGAAACGTGAAATTACTCCGAGCAATTACATCGATTAACCCGACGCGATGTTTTCGTCTGGCTTACGTTGGAAACAAGATTGGTGGCGAGCGGTCGCGAATACGAAATGGACGCGTCTGCAGAGAGAGAGAGAGAGAGACGAGGAGAGGGGAGGAGAGGGGCATGTCGAAGGAACCGGTCCCGGTCGTGATGTTTCTCGGTGTAAACCGGGCGATGACGTAGACCGCAGGGAACCGCGACGAGCCCGCGGACTCGTATCGTATCGTATGGTATCGTTCCCCTCGAGGTGTCGGATTTGGTTCCGACCGATCGCCATTATTCTCGCGTGCGCTACGTGGTCGCGCACCGGCCGCTGCGTCGCCACGTTTACGAGCGTCGTTAACGAGCTGACACGAGTTGAAGGAATTATCGTCGGAGATCTGTAAACCGGTGAGGATTTATCGGTGCTCGGAATTGGCATTAGGGGGAAGGAGACTTATCGCCGGTGTCGATGCCGCGTTTCCTCCCGGCCCCGAATTTCCTATCCTCTTTCGTCGACGTGTCCCTCCCTCCCTCCCCCTCCCTCCTCTCACCGCTGCCATTAGAATTCCGATTCTAAACGATTCTTCTCTCAATGTGACACGTAACATCGTTGCATAACCGATCATTTCCGTCGCGCGTGTGTGTGTGTATATATATATATATATATATATATGTATGTATGTATATGTACATCTCGTGGCAATGTTAATATCGTCGATGAGGCATTTTTCTCCAAGGTAACGTCAGGTTGCCTGATTTGTCGTTTAACCGTCGCGCAAAGTAAGCAAGAATCCACGCGTCCTTGGATTCGATGATGAAAAATGAGAGACGGTGATGCAACAGGAAATGCGACGTTGGTCAGACACGCGTAAAGGATTATATACGCGCTCGGATCGCGATCTGTCCGGCCTTCGGAGAGGTGAGACACGCGACGAGGTGACGAGAACTCGCCGAATTATCGACGTTGCCGCCTCGAATCGTGGCGTAGGTGGCGCCAATATAGGTGCAACTAGCGAGTGGCTCTTTCTTTAGCTCTTTGAAGCCTTCGACTTTTCGCCTCGATGCATAATTTAATACGCACTTGTGGACGACGCATCGAGGGGGAGGAGGAGGAGTGACGAAAAAAAAAGGAAAAAGCAATTTCGCATCGATCTACGAATCGAAGTTATTTTTACGCGGCTCGAGCAAGTAACAATCGGATGATTTATTATTGGCAGTGAAGGAAATATATTCGATTCGATCGATTTTTGTGCACGATCGATCCCGATTTCGGATTATGGAGCGAAAGTAGCGCGCCTGTCTCGCCGCATTTCCCGTGAAAGAGAAAAAAAAAGAGGAAAAAAGAAAAAGAAAGGGAAAAAAGCGTCGTGGGTCGAAGCGAAATCAACTTTGGTGCTCCCTATTTGGCGAATGCGCTGGAATCCGTAGGCGAACCAGTCGAACGCGTCATCCAAGGGGAGACCGACCACACAATCGCTATAACACCGTTTATATACAACGATCTTCGACATAAGAACGAACGCCATTGAACGAAGACGTGTTTGCGCCTTCCTCCAATGCTTCCATTCTTCGATGCTTCCATCAAACTGTGACTCATTCTTCTCAAACGTTCGCTCATTCACGCACTCATCATGATCGACTTTCATATCCGTTTTAATATCGAAACTGTCGTCGGCTAATTAAATCGACTCGATACACGGTTTATAGAGATACGTGGTGGAAAATCGTAGAATTCGATTTCTTAGAAATTCAAAACTAATTAAATCAACTTGTTAATCGATCGATGCACGGTTTATGGAGATACGTGGTCGAAAATCGTAGAAACGAAAAATCACCGAAAATGAATTCGATTTCTTAGAAATTCAAAATTGTCATCAGCTGATTAAATCGTTAAATCGATCGATGCACGGTTTATAGAGAGATGGTTGAAAATCAGAAAAAGATCGGCAGAAACGAAATTCGAAACTGTCATCGGCTAATTAAATCGTTAAATAGATCGACGCATCGTTTATACAGAGATGGTTGAAAATCAGAAAAAAGATCGGCAGAAACGAAATTCGATTTTTTAGAAATTCAAAACTGTCATCGGCTAATTAAATCGACTCGTTAACCGATCGATGCACGGTTTACGGAGATACATGGTCAAAAATCGTAGAATTCGATTTCTTAGAAATTCAAAACTGTCATCGATTGATTAAATCGTTAATTAATCGATGCACGGTTTATACGAAGATTGAGATTGAAAATCGTAGAA